CCCTCCCCCCCTCTTCCAAGTTAAAAAACATCAATTTTGCTGGATCTGTTTCAAAAATCTTGGTAAAAATGCATTAAAGCAGGTCAAACCCCCCCTCCCCTTTATTATCGACATCAGGATCCGCTAGTGTTTAGTGGTATTAGCAATATATATATTCTCTTTCTCTCTTTCTCTCTCTGTGTGTACAAGGCAATATCTATATCTATTGTAGAGCAGCAAATGAAGCAAATCGAACAGGACAACCAATCAGCCGAACATCGTCTACTTCATCATCTACTTCATCATCTACAGAGTAGTTCCAATACTTGTTGAAATTTGAGAGTGATATTTTTCATTCAATTACCTATTTAACCGAATGTATATCTATTTTCAACACACTGATACCATTTCTGGCACTTTTTGTCTTTAGTAATGCATATATATCTCTCTTTACAGATAATATAAGATATTAACTACAAAATTTAAATCATTAGCTCTTAAACGTAATTGATATTGTCTTAACTTGAAGTGCTGTGTTCAAAAAGATAGTTTCATTTTGCTTTCGGCCAATTGTAAGCATAAATCGATATCAGTTTAAATCGGTTTGTTTGACTCTTTTAAAGAAGATTGAATTGGACACTAGATTGTCTCATATGATCCTTAATAATATCATTTGATTCAGTATCTGTAAATACTTGATTCAATAATTCTTGTGAAATGTGCCACGCATTGACGAATTATGAGCGTTATTACGTCTCTAATAAAAAGAGACTTTTTTTATGTTCTAATGTCAGTAAAATTGGAGGCGCAATTTACGTTTATTATAAAGATTATTTATATATGAGTATTTTTGTTTTGATTGGCATTAATTCTAGCAAACTCCGAACGGTAGATAATTTTCTAATACTTGTATTATATTTAGATTAAAAGAAAAGAGAGAAAATTATTTTTATGTCGCCGAGACTCAGTAAAATTGATACATACATTATTTAATGACTGTAAATGAGTTTAAAAATTCGCAATTTAGGGGACAAACAACTATTAAATTCAAACGGACAAGTGCGATGCAATATATATATAAGTATTGAATACCATGAATATCGTGAATAAATACCGTGTGCATTAAACAGAACAAATTGATCGAGGATAGAAGATACTGTTTTCTCTGCAGAAATACATTTAGAACTCATTAAAATACATCACATGAATCAACAAATCATTATAAAAAGCTGACAGAGTTAACTAAAACAAATGCACATCAAAATTACATTATTTCGTTTTTTACTTTTTTTTTACTTTAGTAAGAATAAAGTATACTGAAGATAAATAATCATTTAAAAAAAATTTTTTTTAAGCTTTATGTAACTGTCAATGACTGTCATATTACATGCATGTATACACAATCTTGATTTCCATCTGAGTCTCGACGAATAAAGGTACGAGTATGGAACGAATAGCCTTCGTTTCAATCATCTTGATGTCTAAAACCGTTTCATGCGAAATTTCCCTGCTAATTTTCAGAAAAATGATTTTTACAATACAATGATACAAATGATATAAGACATGGCACGAGTAACACCAGATTCTATCGTGCATAAGTACGCAGCGTACCTACATACTTCTGTAACAAAGATGATATACTTGAGAGAGAATATGCGCATCCTTGAAGATAAACCCTTACACTGCAGCAATTGATACAGTTACACAGTTGTATAAACATAAGATAGATTATAGTGTAAAAAATATAATTAGCGTTCAAATAATATATCTAAATTTTTTGGCCGATGTGTCGCGCGTATATGAAATGGAGCGTCTTTACTTGTGTTACGCGATGGACAACGTACTAGTATGCGTTTATATAACAAAAATATCAAGTTATATGCTACTAAACATCTACTCAAATTTTATGCTTTGTATACTCTATTGCGCGTTTTCCTAAACTTCAACGATAATCCACTACTTATTTTGAAAAGAAAAAAAAAGTATTTCAATACTAAAATAAAGAGAGTGTTAAGATTGAATGAAGTTTAGCTTATGCAAACTTACAACTACTAGCATCTGATTTCTTTCTTTCGATAAACAGAACGGAGATAAAGAATACCAATATGCCTACATAGGCAATGATTTATATTGCATCCATAATAGATCACAATTTAATTTTTGTTTTAACAACAAGAAAAAGATTCTGTGTACTCTTGCAAAACCTAATATCCCGTCAAACCCGCAAGTCTGCACATTTATATCTAAAGTGAATACAAATCGTTTTATTGTCAATTAAGTAATTGCGAAAATGTCAAATGTACAGTTAGGAGCATCGAAAGCTATCCATTCGGGTACCTCTCAGTTTTTAAAAGCATCTACTACTACTTCTTTATTTCTCCATTTTTTTTCTTGGATATTAGATGAAGATTTGGCGTCCACCTCCATCTACTAATCTTCATCCGATATTCAAGAGAAAATGGAAAAGTAAAGAATGTAGTAAATAATTTTGGAAAGTGGTAAAGGCATCCGAGTGGATAGCTTTTGATGCTCCTGACTGTACATTAAAATTTTCAGATTAATTGGACCTTTTAGTTATATATATATTTTTTTCTTTATATATAGTGAAAATACGTCAATTACAAAAAAAAATATCTGTTGCAATGTGGTCACTGAGATCAACATTTGGTTCAGTTGCAAAATAAATACATTAATTGTGCAGACGTTATAAATGAAAGAACAAACGATATTATTGTTCTAACAGTAGTAACGTTCAAAATAATATTGATATATCATATTTTTTTGGAAAAACGTATTTTCTCTAACCATTAGTGCATTCTCTTTATGTTCCTCATATTTTTTAATGTATTAATAAACAGTAACTTTTGTTTATAGTATAACAAAATGGAATATGTGTTTATATAATACAAAATTCCATATTTTTGGGTGTGTGCGTGTACGCGCGCGCGTGCATGTGTATAAAATAAATATGTATATATATATATGTATATATATATATATATATACACACACAGAGTGCATCATACATGTGGGATCCATTTTAGGATTGATGGATAAAGTCTACTAAAATAATGGAAAAAAATTTGCAAGTCTATTTGACCATATTTTCACAAGTTGTACCCATTTTTTGTATTTCAATACTTGATCTTTTCAATGCTACGGACATATGTATGCATCTTGACACAATAAAAATTTCCGTAGTCTACGCTGATGACTTTTGTAGGATGCACATGTGCGCCCATTAGCATTCAAAGCTTTAAGAAGTACTGAGAAATGATTAACTTGAAAACTATCAAATAAAATACATGCTTATATAAAATTTTTTTTCATTCTTTTTGTAGACCATCACTAATGTGAATCCTACATGTTATAATACACTCTGTATATGTATGTATTAATATAAAAGATATAGAATTTAACGATGTTTATACGTGCTTTTTAGCAGATAATAGTCTATATAAATTTAGTAGTAGAATACTATGGGATATATTTATTCGTCAATAAAGAAAAATATCTAATGTAATCTCGGATCCAGGCGTTATTTTTCTTAACACTTTTATTAGCATTTTATATCAGGAAAACAGCAAACGCAATATGTGAAAATATACAGTTATATATTTGTACACTCTGATATGTCCACAACTAGACAGTTTGATACCAATGTAAGATGAACAATGGTCGTGAGTATAACACAATGCGAAGTATGAAGCATCTATTTAGGTAACGATAAGTACAAAGCCTAATAAAATTCGGGGAAATGGAGTGATCGTTAAATTAAAAATCAAAGGTCTAGATTGACTGAATGATATTTCCTTCTCGGGTTTTGTTTACCCACTCCTGGAAATAGATTGGAGATTAAAAGGATTACAACTATGTGTAATAGTGAATTCGGTTGGATGCGCACTAGTACAGATTAAAGTTTGTTATACGTTTTAATTGTACCAACAAAATATAATACAAAACACTTTATAATGCTCAATATACATATATAATCTACTAAAAACAATCATAGTAAAATGGTAAATTTTACTAAGCATTTCATAGATTTACTGTACTATGCGTATGACATTTCAACGTGTACCAATGCGCATTAATGTGTCCAATTAAATTTATTATAAGGTCATGGTTCATGCCATATAAAATCATCGAATATGGTTGATAACTTTTCATTTTATCTTAAATTTCACACATCTCACTGCTAACAGGATCCTTGTACTCCATATTGTTTAAATTTTATGATTTATTTATTGTATTATTACGTTGCAAAAACAGATAACTTCTCATTAAGTGGCCAAATTACATTTTAAAATGCAAATGTCGCGTTCTAATTTCATTTAGAATCTTCTAAGATAAAACTTATATTTACATTTTTTATGCCATACGCACACGTTCTATTACGCGAAGCAGCTCTGTTCAGTTTAAAATAATTCGATCGATTAAAAAGAAAGCTATTTTTTCGATTGTTTGAGACGTTATCAAAAGACGTTTATAAATGTAAAATTTCTCGTGCAAAAAATTTTTTTATACATCGCTTTACATTATATACAAATACATATATACACACAATCGCAATAAAAAAATAGATTGTACATTACAGTTGCGACTATATATACAGGATAGGGCATTTTTAATGTATTCCAAGCTGTTATCTCTGAAAGCGCCAGGTTCAGATCAACATTACTGCCTCCTTAAACTCAAACAATTTTCTTCTAAAACATTTTTTGCATTAAAATGCGTATACGCATAAAGTATACTTTCAGAGACAACAACTTGTAACAATTTAATATATAAACTCACCGTGACTGTTCTTGCTGATTCTATACGTGCAAAGAACAGAAATAAGTTTCGGGCGATGATTTGTCCGATTTGTCCAATATAACATTAATTTCAATTATTTATATAATGCAATTATATGTATATTTATACATATAACAATATCAACTTAACTTGCTCTTAAAATTTTCAACCACTAAAATTTGCTTGATATACGCTTATTATTTGTAATTACAGTTTTTCCGTATGTCTAGCAGTGATTCTTTTCTTTCTTTTACGCCGGAAATAATTAATACTGATTGTGAGTAATAACACTGGCTAATCATCAGCTGTCTGTTTTATAAGTGATATTGGCTGCGCCATTGTTATATCATAAAAGAATCTATTCATTCGTTATTTGATTGGTGGGTTCGTTTTTCATGCTTTCTATCTGTTCTGAAATAACGATTTCAGACTGATCCGTTTCTTTATGCAGCGCTATGATAATTTTTTGCTCGGTGGAAGACTGACTATCGGAAGAGCCTTCTTGTGTCGAAGTAGCAGCTTCCTAAAATTTAATATATTCGTTATATTGCATTTGTTAGATAACAATTGCATTTGATTGTGACGGCATGGTGTGTCTGAAAAATGAGTTATACTTACCGTGCTTCGTATCTTAGTATGTGTTTTGATGTGTTTTGTTAGATGATCGGATCGCATAAATTTCTTGGTACACTCGGGACATTGAAAACGTTTCTCCCCTGTATGAGTTCTACGATGCCTTTGAAGTTCATCAGATCTGGTAAATTTTTTACCGCAAAATATCCAACTACAGACGAATGGTCGTTCACCGGTGTGCCAACGTAAATGCGCACGTAAGTGACTCGTTTTCCCATATACTTTATTACATCCAGCGATATGGCATATGTGTTGCCGCTTTCTGCTCATATCTCTGTTCCTACAAAATTATTATTCAAGTATTAGTAAAGTGTTTTTGGAGATGTGACATTTTTCAGCAGTGTTGCAATTACGAATAAACATCCGTGTTTAATATAATTGAAAGGAATTATCGTTTACCTGTCTCCGTCGCCGCAATTGGGACACGTACACGCGACTCTTCTACGATGCTGCTTAGTGTCACTGTCGGTATTGGAGTTGGTTGCACTTGATACTTGATGTTGATGAGAAATGGGAGCAGCGGATGTCGTCAAGGTGCCGTTCGACTGAAGAGTTTGGAGAATTTGCCATTTGGTAGGATCACTCGAGTCGAGTTGTACAGTTGGCGTAGCGACGATAGGTGTAGCCGCGGTAGCGGGCAACGTTTGCATCGCAGTCGGTTGTAACGCGCTCGCTGGTATTACTTGCACATTGCCTAAACCTGGAATGTTTTGTACAGGTATCGATTGCAAAAAGCCATTGGTCGTATTTATTCCAGCGGCTGGCTGAATTTGCATTATGCCTCCGTTGCTTACGCTCCTCATCATGTTACCTTGTTGCGCGGTTAAATTCGCTAACGCAGATGCGGGAATAAGTGTTAATTGTTGCCCTTGCGCACCTGTATAAGCAGAAATAAATCATTGCTGAATACAAAATTATAATGGATAAAGTACAAAGATAAAATATTTATTGATTCTTTTCTCGCTTTCAACTCGCATTTGTTTCTATCGGAGTAAAAAAAAAACAGTTAATATTTACACTATGATTGACTGTCTGTAATCACGATAATTATTAAATCGTGCAAAGATAACAGAAAAGAGACTTAAGAGTCATAGCTAAATATTATTTTTTGTTGTTGTTGTCCTTGATTAGTGGAAAGCGTAGGAGCCTTGTTTAATTTTAAACGGTTAAATTATTGTTTTTATTTAAATGATGCATTTTGTAGCTTTAATTATCGTGATTTCACAAAGTCAATCACAATGTAAACATTAATTGTAGTAACAAATGTATCTCGTGTATATCTGAAACTACTCCTCTTTTCTCTACAGACAGTGTTGCAAATAAATAGGAATGTCTAAATGTACACATACAATGATATTTATTTATTCACCTGTAATTGTAATAGGTTGCATTGTTGGTTGGGCCGACTGTGCAGCAGGAATATGTATTATTTGTCCACCAGTTAGTCCAGTAGCATCAATATTAGTTACTTTAATGTCACCTTCTACCGTTTCTGGCGGCCTTGTTAAAGTGGATAATGTCTGCACGTCAATCTTCTGGCCATCCTTTGTAGTAATAACATTAGTATTTCCTGTTATGCTTCTTCCTAATGTGCCTATTCCAAGAACCTAAAAAAATGTGTAATGTAAAATTTAAAGAAAAAAACACTATATCAAATTGTATATATAATATTGAAATTTCAAAGTATATTTATACTTGAACATTGCTAGGAGTCGCAACTGTTGTACTCCAAGTCGCTACGCTTGACGATGGAGAAGAGGATTGTTGCATTTGTTGTTGTTGTTGCTGTTGCTGCGATGCTGATGATGGCGGTGGTGGTGGCGGTGGCGGTGGCTGTTGCTGCTGCTGTTGCGACGGCGTTTGTTGCTGCTGCTGTATAACTTGTTGCACAACTTGTTGTACCTGTTGCTGTTGTACTTGAGCTTGCGCTACTTGTTGCTGTTGCTGCTGGACCGATTGTACTATCTGTTGCTGAGTTTGTTGTTGGACGACTTGCTGCTGCGCTTGTTGATGTGCAACTTGTTGAGCTACTTGCGTTACTTGCTGACTCTGTAGTGACATTTGTTAAATATTTATATGGTAAGAAAGAAAAAATATTCTTTATTGTTGAATGTGATTTATCTTTACCTGAAGACTTTGTAATTGTGGTATATTAGCAATTTGCACTTGTTGGATCTGACCATTTGGTGTAATTATCTGCGCTACTTGAGGTATTTGCTAAAATCAAAATAAACATTTCGTCAATATATTTTACTCATGTTTTACAAGAATTTATAATATCTATAAACTTACAAAGTATCAAATGCTTAATTTCAACTTAGTTAGTTGATTATTTCGTTTGGCTTACTTGCGTAATTTGGGGTATCATCTGCGTCGCGGGCATGTTGAAAACGCTAGATAAGGCTTGAATAGGAAAATGTACAGTTTGATAAACGGTTTGTCCATTACTGGCAGTGACTGGTACTTGCACAGGCACTGTTTGTTGAACATGCTGCATAGGAAACTGGAGGGGCCTTACTTGTACGCTTTGACCTGTAATAAGTTACTCGATTATTCTGTGTATATATATATATATATATATATATATATATATATATATATATTATATATATATATATAATATAATATATATATATAT